AATGGCTCGACCATCTGAGTTAGACACTTGTTTCTACCCGACACGGATTAGCTCCACTGGTCACAGCTTCTCACCAGAACTCCGAGAATTTTCTCACGAAGTTAGTCACATAGTAAGCACATGGTAGTGATCAGTTTAGGTGTCGCGCAACTTCGTGAATCGGTTAAAGTTAGACATTAACACCAATGGACGCCGGTTCAGTGATCTAGTAGGTTAAGCGTTCGCGCGCGAGACTGGACACCCTGGGTTCGAGTCCCGCGAGCGGGATCGTGAGTGCGCACTGCTGAGGAGTCTCACAATAGGACGAAACGGCCGTCCAGTGCTTCCAGCTTCTCAATGGTGGTCTAACATCAATCGATTCATGATCTCGATCAAAAACAATGATAAATGTTCAAAATAGAGAGTTATATATCAATTATAATCTGAATACTAATGAATATGAGATTTTTAGAGTAGAGAATTCATATAAGAAATTATAAGAAACTTATCGTAAAGTAGTGAGTCGTAAAATCAATAATAGATAATGAGATTATTGTTATCATAACATCGACTTGGAATCGATAAGAATCCCTAATTTTCCAAACATCATTTCGGGTAAATCTGAATGACTTAACACAGTTAGTCAGTCAGTCAGTAATAACGTAGAACTTCGTATGTATGTACACCAGTTGAAGTTGCCATACCACTTTAGCATACAGATACAATTGTCGTTGGCTCAATACAAACTAATGTTAAGTTCCTTGATTTTGACATCTGATAACAACGATCCCATTTTTTATGATCAAACTTATTCATATCAAGTATATAGATATATCCAGTGAATGAGTTCCAACAAACAGCTAACTTGGTTGAAGCGAAAATGTCTATTGGCTTAATCTTTCAGCAATACATGTCAAAGGAAAGAAGAAGTAAATTTCGATGTACGTAGAGTAATGTCTACATCACAAATTATTCGACAGAATTGAATCATTCCCAAAGATTAGGCGATCATGAAAGTGAATACCTAATCAAAGTAAAGTAACGATACTATGAGTATTAATATCTTGTGAAATAAGAATGATGCATGCCCACTTTTTTTGTGTAGTTGCGTGTAGTTATTTATCATTTATTTGAACACATAGATAATCGGTACAAGGGGGTATCTATATATATATATATGGGCCACACAAATCTCATTTGATTTGTGTGAGGGCTGGGATACTGCCCAGGTTCTCAGACCGAAGCAGGCGGTTTTCTTAGGGGGCCAAACCCAGAGCCATTGACTTAAAGGTCTGATCCACAAAGTAGTGGAGTAACGTAAGGAGATGCAGTCTCATGGTAGCCGGTGACTAACGATTAGTTCATACACCATTTATTCTTTCAGGATCCTGAAGATCATGTGTACCGTTGGTTTAGAATTAGGATTTTCCAATTCTATTAGGTGGACTCTCGCGCTGGACATTCGCTTTCCGTCCTGTTAATTTCGTAAACAACATTCTCGCCACGCGTGCACTAGAATATGCTGTAGAGGAGGACCTTATCGTGATCAACAAGAAACAAAACATGTCAGAATTGTTTATGTGTACCTTTATGATGAACAAGATGAAATATCCATAATGTATTGTGTTATAATTAATTACATATGAACTCAGTTATTTGCTTCAAGTTCAACCTACTACTTAAATGTTATCAAAACTGACATTGTAGTGTCAGTTACTATGTTAGACCTATATAGCTTATTCTAGCTTCCCGACAAGTTAATCTCTTAATTCATTTTGAGTCACATTTTCATCTTATCACTTATTTACTTATCAACTTTGACTGTTGTTATATGAGGATATGCATATGTACTTCTTATTCTATTCATCACATATCTATAACTTGCTTCTTTTGGACTATAGATATCGATTAACTCTTGGTTAAATCGAGTTAGCTCATACGCATTCTTCACTACGTGTCATTTCACTTTTCTGTCCTCTCTTCTCTTTGATTCCTTCTGTTCGTCCTTCTGATTGTCTGTTCAGATTAATGACTGCATAAAACATACATATTCAAAACTTCATTCTTATATTTGACGTATTTCAATCCCATTATTCACCAACGCCATTTAAGTCGATAGTTGACGACATGTATATTTCAATCATAATCATTCTTACAATCTACCTGAAATCAGGTATTCGAGGGTCACTAAAGTGGTGGGATCTAGAGGTCTAGAAGTTAAGCGTTCTCACGTGAGACTGAAGGCCCAGGGTTCGAATCCCACGAGTGAGATCGTGGATGCACACCGCTGAGGAGTCCTATACTAGGACGAAAAGACTTTCCAGAACTTTTAAGTTTTCGGTGATGGTTTATGATCTTAATCATAAAGGTTATACAAACTGTAACCTAGGGTAATGTATTCGAACTCAGACGATTAATCCCCTTGGTAACACATTTGTTTTTGATCATAATGATTGATAATGCTATCATACCTTCTTGATGAATACAATCATATAGACTATTGAAAATGACAGATTCTTTTACAATATATCTTTATTTCAAAATGGTTAATAATAGTAAGCATATGATTAGGATTTCTGTAAATGGTAATATACTATAAGTATAATACATATACTAGACAGTAATCCATTATGAATGTATTTAGTTGCTATACTTGAAGGTGGTATAACGTTTATTTTATTGACTAAAGTATCAAGGGCTTCTTTTAATTTGGTAACCTCATGTTTTAATTCTAATACGATAGGACGTGGATCTATATCTTCATCTGAATAAACAAAGTTATGAATTAGTGAATACTAGTTACCAGGATTAGTTTGAATGGATACATCTTTGGGACCATGGTTTACTGGAACAAGTCCCGTCTGAGATGATATTAATTCAATAATGAAACATAATACAAAGATCCTGCAAATCGTCAACATTGAAATGATATTTCACAATTACTAAACCAATGATCAATCAGAATTTATAATGAATAGTCACTTCTTATTTATAGACGCCAAGCAACTACAAGTTCATTTACACACACACACACAGACACATACGTACGCACCCCCCCATAGTTTGAGTGTAACATGTTATTCCAAATAATATTTAGATGTTCATATTGCCAAGAAACAAACATGTTTCCATTCATTATCTTTTGTATAGATGATGTTAGTTTTTTCTTTATTATTTTAATGAAAATCTGATTGAAAATTAGTTGGTATTAGTTGTTATTTTCAGGAAGGAGGGGGGGGTCTTGTGGAGAATTCAGTAATTTGAATAGTTGAATTCATGAGTCAATTGAAACTAGACCGTTTGTAGAAAACCTAAAAGCACTTGACGACTGTTTCGTCCCAGAATGGGACTCCTCAACAGTATTCATCCACGATCTCGCTAGCAGGATTCGAACCCAGGACCTGAGAGCTCATAATAGAACAAAGAGTCTGTCTAGTGCATCCAAGTTTTCCATGGTGATCTAGCTTTAATTGACTGATGAATTTAATTATTAAAATAATAATAATGATTGAGATTAGATAGACTGTTGCATAATGCCTCACAAGTGAAGTGAATTAAAAGTATTTCAAACTCATCCATTTTTCATGATTTCTCGAATGAATCTGTTTCGTCTAAGCGTCATTCACATAAATTACAGTTTATAAAATATAGTGAATGTGTGGTGTAGGCTAATTATATCCACGTAAGTAGTATATAACGATGGTCAGGCATAGAATGTATTTCAGAGGAACGGTAGGACGTGCGGCTGCTAGGCGGACATCGGATGTAAATGACTCGGCAGGTCGCTGGAGTGCAGGCGTTGAACGTCCCAGGAGCCTGGTGGATGTCGGATGTTGATAGGTCGACGAAGCTATGAAGGTCAGCGCGCCGCGATTGTCATGAAAATGCATGAAAAATGAAACGTGAGACAATGGACTGATACTGTATGAATTTAACACTCAACTAACACAGAACAAAATGATCACGTTTTTACCATATGATTTCCGATCACCTGCCTACATTCACAATCGTGTAGAAAATATGATGTAATAAATAATAATAGACATTAATGAGCAAAGTTGGATAGTGACTAGCTGTGGAATCCAGGATGAACATTTCATCCTATTTCGGACTCGTCAGATGGATATACCTGCATTTCAAAGTTGATTTTCACTCCAGGACTCCAACCCACTACCGTTCGCTTCATTGTGCTATTCACTCAGCTACTGAATCTTGATAGCCACCTGCTTATGCAACGGGGCGAAGTTTAAATTCACTTGGTGTTATTTGCTTCTATGTTCGCATTGTCGATTAGTACTGAAATTGCTCAATCTCTTGTTGACATATATAAATCCCATCCAGATCACCTCGATATAACCTTAAGTCACAAGCTGTATATGCAAAGATGAACGAGTCTCAAATAGAACGAAACGCACGTCCTGAATTCCACTGCTAGCCACTATCCATCTTTGTATATAATGCTTGTGAATTAAGGCCATATCGAGACAATATGCCCAGTATGCACTTATGATAATGAGCGACTGATCAATTGCAATCCTAAACGTCAATAAGAAGATTCAAACAAACAATATCAAATGAATTCAATAGACTAGGAAAGTTAGAATGAAATGGATCTTTAACCCTATAAATAGATGCATTTGAATAAGTTTGTGTTAGGTAATTTGAAGATGGATACAACATAATCAATACAACGTATTATCAATAAAATCGTGAAGAATGACTTAATCGATTACAGTGGAAATGATACATGAAATCGATTTGTTCCCAATCATCTATGACATGCAATCAAATCCTGAGAAGGAGTATTTACACGCAATGACATGGCGAATATATGTTCACATAGTAAGTTATTAATTAGTTGGTGTTAATTGTTAGTCAGTCCAGTTTAGACCAACTAGGCTGTTAATCTAACTGTTAATAATCAACATTAGTGACGGTCTCCAAGAATTGTTTCCTGGAGTTCTAGTAAGAAGCCCTGATCAGTGAAGTTCAAACACGGTCTGTTTTGAGATAGTAAGTCAATGAAGACAATAGTGGACGGTGGCGCGATTCCGTGAATTAATTGGAGCTAGACACTAACACCGCTGAATACCGGCTCCGTGGTCTAAAGGTTAAGCGGTCGCGTACGAGACCGATAAGTCTTGGATTCGGATCTCGCGGGGTGAGATCGTAGATGCGTACTGCTGAGGAGTCCCATATTAGGACGAGACGGTCGTCACTACTAACAGGTTTCCGATGGTGGTCTAGCTAAGACCCTTTCGTGATTCAAATTACAAGTTTTACAATCTCTACGAATTCTCCTATAACAATGATAAACATGCATTCATTTGTGACTAGTTCCAAGATGTAACTCATCGAGTTCTAATGAGAAATTGTAACAAGTGTATAATAATAACATTTTGTGACATCCCATTAAGTAGAGATCTGTATTTCTGATGCTTCGTGATCTACTTTGAGCCACTTCTTCAGTGTAAGTAAATAACTGAAGTTAACACAAGTTTAATCAGTACAAAGGAAACAATGAAGAATATTTTTAGTACAATTAAAGTCATAATAGGTCTGAACTTGTTAATGTCATGTTATTTTTGGTCAATATCATTCTGAATTAGAAATCATTGTTCATTTGAGAAATTCAACCATGTTGGGTGTGAGATAGTCATCCACTGCTGTTAGTGATTAGAGTAGTGCAGAGACGTCGAATGATTGGAGTTAGACATACACATGACTGGATGCTGAATCAGTGGGCCAGAAGTTCAGCGTTCACACTAAAGGTCCTGTATTCGAGGTGTGAACCACTGGAGAATCTACGAACACGGTTGTGATCAAATGCTAGTGACTATAATGTTGACTGGCGTCTATTAAAATTTATGCATTAGTTGTCCTAATGAGAAGTCATGACATCTGTCTCTTAGGTGTGTGTGAGTAACAAAAGTTTTCAACGTAATATAACAACTTATTTCAATTTAACTAAATAAGCGGTAGGTTCCCAATATTCCCTCACATGTTTGACTAGATATGTCATTTCTCATGTAGTAATCTTCAGATGCTCTAGAATAAATCGTTAAACACTCAGTGTAAAATTACTGTAGTAGGTTTGGTAAGATGATTGAATCTTACGAATTACATTAGGGACCCATCAAAACTAAGAAATCCTAGAGAATCTAGAAACAATGGAAAACTGTTTCGTTCTAGTTTGCGACTACTCAGTAGTGCAAATCCGCAACCTCACCAGCTTTTGAACACAGGATCTTGGAGCCTTACTGATAGCTCCCAAGCTTTAGACCGCTGAGCTGACATCGAATAGCTTAAATGTTTAAGTTCTGCCAGTTCACGAGACTATACAACTATCTAGAGTTTAAACGCTCATAAAATAAGTTGAAGGTTCCAGATTCAATTACTGGGTAAGTACAAAATGGGTGTCAATTAATTTCCTCTTTTCGATGGATCTAATGTATCTTAAAATATTTTCATTTCAGCTTACTACTGAATCAGTTGTTGTGATTTTTCTGGAATTCATAGGTTGTTGATATAGAACTTTCATCTATATTTGAGTTTTTACATGTTTAAGATTAGTAAGCGTTTCGATTAACCTATATAATAGACCCTTCACGATAGAAAATATGGAACGCTTCCAAATACCCCGGTACGACCGAGGATGGGGAGAGTCCACTTTTCCTCTCCAAATACTCTCATATGGACACGCGAATACAGTCACTATCAGGCAAGTCCTACTCAATGCCTTCTCAACACTGGAATGGAACAGAGAGGACAAAAGAGAATATCATGTGCTTTAACCTGGTTAGTGGATATGGAGGATTCACCTAGAAAAGTTAGAAAACCCTAATTCCAAACTAATAATGCACATGGGCTCCAGGATCCTGATAGAACAAATGGCGTATGAACCAATTATTTGTCACCGGTTACCATGGAACTGCCATTCCTGATGTTGTTCCACCGCCTTATGGATCAAACCTTTAGGTTGAAGGCTCCGGGTGCGACTACCTAAGTAAACCGATTGCTTCAGTTTGGGCACCCAAGTAGTATCATAACTCACACACAAATCAAGTGACTTGTATGGCGCATATGTATTTACTTTTACTTATCTTCTAATGTTTGATTACATTCTTCAGCAGTTCATCTCATGAACGATATGTATGATACTTATTCTCTTGTACTAAGTTTCAATTATCCCTAGTGTCATCGTTCCGTGCATTAGTAAATTGTAATGCTGAAAAGTAGAAAAAAAGAATACTCATCCCAATGGTAAATCCTATCCAAATCATCAAGATTATTCTCAGAATTAAACTGAATAACAAACTAGAACTACTTATTTCTAGAATCAGGATAGTGTATGCTACTTATGTTGGCAGATATAAGTAGTATGTAGCACCAAGCAAAAGTAGTATACCTGAAAAGAATGAAATGAAAGAGGAAAAAGATAAAAGAAAATTGAAAGCAATCAAAATAGTAGCAAGAATGAAGAATCAATTGAGTCTGTAAGAGACAACTGATGGAAGATCTGTATAGTTTTCATATTTTATTCCTGTTCATTGACTGGATACCATCATCCACAACAACCAACCTACTGTAGGAGATAATAAATCAGCTTCTATTTGAAAAGGAAATTAGAAAAAGACACTAGAAGTGGAAAAGGACATACATTGTAGAATTACATCGGACTGTGTCATGAGGCAAGCTCTAACTTGGAATACTGAAAGGAAACGAAAAAGAGGAAGATCAAAAAACATTCTACACATTGAGAATTGAATGCAGACATGAAATAGATGATCAAGGACAGAGTTGAATGGAGAATGCTAATAGTTGGTCTATGCTACTCAATGAGGTGTAACAGGTGTACATACATAAGTTCTTCAATCGATCTTCTCATTACATATATCTATAGCTTAATATTGGCATGTTTACTTACACCTTACATAATTCAATACCATGTTAGTTACTACATAACTCAATATCCATCATCGTCACATTTTGTTGTTCAATTCAGAAGAACAGTAAACATGTTTCGACAATGATGACTTGTTTGTTCTGTTTTTATCAACAACAACAAAAAACATGATTGAAAATACAAAACAATGATATATGTGTCATAGATATAGTTCATGTCTGATTTGCTATTTTCTTTCTAAAAGCCTCAATCAATTCCTTTTGTAGTGGTTTCTCACCCCCCTCCTCCACCATCTTCCAGCCTAAATGAATTTGGTAAGACTTAGTGGGATCTTCTGGAGAAGTTGCTATATCGAAACATGGCATAACTACAGGAGGAGGGATAGCTGAGTTTGCAGTCAAAGTTGTGGTACTTTTTTTCTTTGTAGCACTTGTAATCGTTTATGAGTATTGGTCGATTGGTTGATTAGTCCGATCTCTATCACCCACTTTACTACTCATATTAGTTCATGGGATAAGTCTCACTATCCAGGAGGTATGAAAAGGATGTGTGAGTCGGGTTTTATCTCCTAGTGGTTTACAGAGTGTGATATAAATTATGACTAGTGAGGTTTGTTACTGATATTATTCAATGTTTGTTGATTAATGAAAAACTCGACATTAGTTCAGTGGGATCAAAGTATGTTACATAGACAATTGTTTATCAATAGTTGTACCTTTTTGATGATGGTTGTGGTAGTTCTGCACGTCTCAGCTTCATACAGCAAACCTATCTTGACATTTGTATTGAAGATTGTGACTTTGATATTGGTTAACAGACAGCTGTTTTGAGTTCCATGTGTTCTTCAACTGTAGGACTACTTTTATTGCTTTGCCAATCTTCACCTTTACGTCTGCATCAGATCCTTCAAGTTCATAGATGATGTTACTCAGAGACGTGAATGTTTCCACCTGTTCTACAGTTTCTCCATCGATTGTGATTGGTTTGGTGTCAGTAGTTGATGAAACCCACTGAGTTAGTGGAGAAACTTTGTAAGAGATGAGGAGTTTCACGTACCTAGGTAACATCATCGATAAACAAAAAGGCCGCATACTATCAGCAACAGCCTACTGTGAGGGAGAACAAATTGGCTTCCAATTGAAGAGAAAATTAGGAAGTACATGACAAAAATCACCAAACTGCATCACGAGGCAGGCCCTAACTTGGAATCCTGAAGGGAAATGATAGAGACGGAGACCAAACAACACATTATGTCGGGAAATAGAAGCAGATATGAAAAGGATGAATAGAAACCGGAAACAACTGGAAAGAATTACCCAATATTGGGTTGGATGAAGAATGTTGGTGGTCTTCCTATACTTCTCCACAATAAGAGATGCATTTCCATAGTAGCTAATGACCAACAATAGGTTCATACGCCATTTATTCCTTCAGGATAATGGAGTCCATGTACATCATTAGTTTGGAATTAGGGTTATCCAAGTCCTCTAGGTGAATCCTTCATATCCACCAACCCGGTTAAAGCACTGGATATTCACATTTCGTCCTCTCAATTTCATATACAACACCCCAGTGCTGAGAAGGCAGTGAGTAGGACTTCCCTGTCAGTGTTTGTATGCAGGCGTCCATGTGAGAACATTTGGAGAAGGAAAATTGACTCTCCCCACACTCGACCATACCAGTTCATTTAAGGGCTAGAATAATCTTTATGGACTCAACATAGGATCAGCCACTACAACCTGCCGATTCCGAATCCCAATCACATTAAGTTCATTTGTGCTTTTCTCGATCTGTCTTGCTTTAATTACACTGTTTCGGGAATTCCTAGTAAGTACATTAATTCAAAGATTGTCATACCTAATTTAAAATCAGTTAACTACTCATGTAGTGTATACTACTTATACTGACAGATAATAAGTAGCATGTAGCGGCAATTGAAAGTGGAATACCTACCAGCAAAAGATTGAATTAAAGAGAACAGCAAAGAAGTCGGAGAGAAATCGAAATAACAACAGAATTAGAGTTATACTAAGTAAGTTAACATGTCACAAGATCGAGGCAGCATTTCCTCTCTCTCTCTCTCTCTCTCTCTCTCTCTCTCTCTCTCTCTCTCTCTACGTATTAAACATAGACTAGTAAGTAGACAAATCAGGGTCGTAATGTTGATTTCGTTGGGAAAACGAAAGCAATACATTGTCGTTTCTTCCTAGTATGTGACTCCTCAACAGTCACAAATGATTGATCACTGGGTGGTGATCAATGTCATGTGTATCAAGTCCTTCTTAGTGCAGATCGAATGCTATCGACCAAGTTGCAATGTGTCCACTAGTCTAGGTGACTTGACATTTTGTGCACCATATTGAGATTAGATGGTGGTTAGAGGTGGTCAACAGGAAACCCTGGACCCAGGTTATATGCTGCTTTGATAGCCCAGTGGTGACGTCTCTGAGTGTGAAGCTTGATGACATGCAGTCGAATCCGTCAGGGAGCACTAGTTCCCTCAAAATTATAGGTACACCTTGACGATAAGTGCCAAACAGCATGAAACGTGGGTCCAGGGTTTCCTGTTGACTACATCAAACCACCATCTCAACTCCTCAACAGTGTGCATCCACGATCCCGAACGTGACACTCAAATCCAAGATCTTTGGTATCGAGAGAGAACGGACCGGTATCCAACAGTGTTAATGTCTAACTTCCATCGAACCAACTCTTCATCGATTGTCTGAGGTCGACAACTATGTCACACCGGACACGAATTGAATTCCACTGTTCACAGCTTCACACTAGAACTACATGGAATCCATCTTGAAGCTATTCACAAGAGAACACATGGCAACTATTATCAGAAAGGGAGTTTTGTGGAGATTTTAGTAATTTTACCTGTTAAATTCTCAAGTCGATTCTAATAAACTAACTTATATGAATGAGGACCGCTCAATAGATCGGTATCTGGTACCAATTATAATCTGTAGTGACCTACTTTTATCAATTGAACGCTATTGGTGTAATGGAACGATCTCGGTATTCTTTCAATATTACGAGATCACCAGCAAATACGTCTCGACTACAGCCATCAACTGCCTTCTGATATTTGGATTACGGGGGATCTTATCGGTTAACTGGCACGTAGTCTTCCTGTAGTGGTGATCATAGTCAACCACGACTCGACGCCGTACTACAAATCTATGTGTGATTATAAATTACCTTTAAAATAATAAATGTGTATAAAATTCGATTATATTTTATTATATTTGACAGACGATACACTTCAAAGGATCTAAACAACTTATTTCAATTTAACTAATTAAGTTTTTGATTGAGATCATGAACCGATTGATGTTAGACCATTATTGAAAACCTGAAAGAACTGGACGGCCATTTCGTTTTATTGTAGAACTCCTCAGTAGTGCGCATCCACGATCACGCTCGTGGAATTAGAACCCAGGGACTTCAGTCTCGCGAGCGAACGCTTAACCTACTGGACCACTGAACCGGTATCCAATGTTGTTAATGTCTAACGTCAACCAATCCACGAATGGTGGTCTTACATCAATCGATTCATGATCTCAATCAAAAACTTAACAATCACCACAACCCCTCTACTGATAATTATGTTTTATAAATAGAAATGAATAAGGGCTAAGTCATATAATTCCCCCCAAAAAAACAAAATTAGAAAACAATATTTTAACTACTTATTATTAAGTATTTAAGTAGTATAAAAATACAAAAAAATCGTGATTTCATTGAAATTACAATCATTTTATCCATTATAATAAAAGAAAATTACATTATGCATTATAATCATAACTTTGCTAATAAATTATATTCAATATTACAACAAAGCAAACATAAACTACTTATAATCATCATAATAAGTAGTTTTATATTTATACATATATAAATAGATTCAATGAAATGATACAAATACTCATGAATAATATATTCATCATATATGTATTTGCTGAATTTGGAATTGATCTTAATTTTCTAGTTAATTCATCTAATATTTGTTGAAGTTGTTGAAGTTCTTTACGCAGTTCTTCTTTCATTTCATTAGATGCTTGATTCAAAAGTTCATCATATTCATAAACTTCATGAGTAGAGTTTCCATGGAATACTACTGGATTAGGGGAACTATCATTATGGTCTCCACCTTCTTCAGTACTTTTGTTATTGTTGCTAATCTCTTCAGATTTTATAAGTTTTAATGATAATAATTGTAAACTAATAAAGATAATGATCCAAATGTTTCTATGATTCATGAATGATTCAATAAATCAGTAATATCCAATGATAAATAGATGGTTTGTTATTTATATACCCTAAATGGTTACATGTTTTGTTGACTCTATAGTGATTTCTGTTAGTTTTGAGACAGATTCATGAAATGAAAACATGTTTTCTTTTCTTCTTTTTTTCTCTCTTTTTTTTGACTTTTTTCTTCTTTTTTTTTATTGTAAATGTGACAATTTTTTGGTTGTTTGTTGTCATTTGTTTTGTTATAAATGAAACAAAAAAATGACTAGAAATGATGACATAAAGTTAACTTGTATGTTATATGAATGTGTATTTAAATGATACATTTATTATCAGTCCCCCCCCGCCTTCAAACGCCCTGATATGGCTGAGAATAGGGAGAGTCAGCTCTCCCTCTCGAAATGTTCTCACATGGACACTTGTATACAACCATTGACAGGGAAGTCCTACTCACTCACCACGGGTGTTGTTTATGAAATAGAGAAAACGAAATGTGAATATCCGGTGCTTTAAACGGGTTTGTGGATATGGAGGATTCACCTAGGTGAGTTGAAATAATCCTGATTACAAACCATTGATGCACATGGACTTCAGTATCCTGAAGGAACAAATGGTGTATGAACCAATTATTGTTCACTGGCTACTATAAGACTGAATCTCCTGATGTTGCTCCACCGCCTTGTAGATTAGACCTTTAGGTCAAAGGCTCCGAGTGTGACCTTCTAGGAAAACCACTTACTTCGGTTTGGGCACCCGGACAGTATCCCAGCCCTCATGCATATCTCTTTAGTGCCTCCTTGTACCAATGTTTATGTGTTTAAATAATAATAATACTGAGTTATTGAATTGCTCAGGAGTTTCATATTTGGACAAAACGGTCATATAGTGCTTCCAAGTTTTCACTAGTGGTCTAGCATTGATTGACTCATGAATTCAACTATGAAAATAATTATAATCTCCAGCAAACCCACCTTTCTGATAATAATCATAAAATGCTCACTAGTGACAGTCTCCAAGATGTATTTCCTGAAGTTCTATTGAGAAGCCATGTTGGATAGAGACAGAAATCTACTTCAGACAATCAATGAATAGTTGTGTAGCCATTCATGGATCGATGGAAGTTAGACATTGACATCTTTAGATACCAGTTTACTGATATGGAGATTAAGCATGGGATTGTAGATGTACACTGTTGAGGAGTCCCATACTAGAGAGATACGGCCGTGTAGTTCTTCTACGTTTTCAAGGGTTGTCTAGGTTAGATTGGCTTATGAATTCTACTATTAAATTACTATAATCTCTACCAGATCCTCGTTCTGATAAATTTTAAATGGTCATATATTATTCAATTTCGGGAACAAACGCTTATGTCTTATAATTGTAACTAATAGAAGGTATCTACCTCAGTACAATGGAAGTTCGTCGCGCAGTTTCGTGAATTGGTTGATGTTAAAAACTATCACCATTGGATGCCGGCTCAGTGGCCCAGTTGGTTAAGCGTTCGCGCACGAGACCGAAGGCCCTGGGTTCGAAACCCGCGAGCGGGATCGTGCATACGCACTGCTGAAAAGTCCCACAATAGGACGAAACGGCCGTCCAGTGCTTCCAGGTCTTCAATTGTGGTGGTCTAACGTCAATCGGTTCATGATCTCGATCAAAAAAATAATAGTAAAAAACAACAGTAAGATATATCCAATTATGAGGCAGGATCCTCTATAAACAAGAAGGATTCAATGCAGATGTAATGCCAAGGATTGGAAAAGCAACAACAGAAGTCCTACAGTTGAAGAGCATATGGAACTCAAAACAACTCTCAACCAATATCAAATTTACAAGCTTCAATATGAGTATCAAGATGGTTCTACTGTATGAACCTGAAATGGGGAGTAATACTATAACCATCATCAAGAAGGTACAAGTAATAATAAATAATTATCTGCACAAGATACTTAATGTCCGTTTAACGGATACCATCAGTAACAACCTACTGTGGGAGACAACAAATCAGCTTCCAGCTGAGGAGGAAATTAGGAAAAGACGTTGAAAATGGATAGGACATACATTGAGGAAATCACTAAACTACATCATGAGTTAAGCGCTACCTTGGAATATTGAAGAGAAACGGAAAAGAAGGAGGCCGAAGAACACACTGAGTCGAGAATTAGAAGCAGTCATGAAAATGATGAATAGCAACTGGAAGTAATTACCCAGGACACAGTTTGTTTGAATATGCTGGTGAGCAGCCTATGCTCCAGGACGAGGGGTGATAGGCATAAGTAAGTTGGAATGAAATGACTTAACTATGAACGAAGCTTAATTGAAGGCTAAGTAAATTTTTGAGTGTAGATCGAATCCTATCCACCAAGTTGCAATGTAACCAGTAGTCTAGATGACTCGACATTGCATCCACTATGTTAAAATAAGATGGTGGTTCGAGGTAGTCAACAGGGTTTTCTGTTGACTACCTCGAATCATCATGTTACTGATAGACGTGTTAATCAATACAAAAATAATGGACGTTAGTTGTGTGTTAACCACTTATTGATATAATCAAAAATTATCAGAATGGGTTTTGTGGAGATTTTTAGAAATTTCACAAGTTCAAAATCATGAGCCAATTGAAGCTAGACCACCATGGAAAACCTGGAAGCACTGGACGGCCGTTTCGTCCTAGTATGGGACTCCTCAGCAGTGCGCATCCACAATTACTTACTTACTCACTTACTTACTTAAGCCTGTTACTCCACGTCGAGGAGCATAAGCCGACCATAAACTATCTCTATTCAACTCTGTCTTAGACAATTCTGTCCAGTTGTTCCCGATTGCTATTCATCATCATCAATTGCCAACGTAGTGAGTTGTTTAGTCTTCATCTTTTTTCTCCTCCTCTCAAATGTTCAAGTTAGTGCTTACCTTGTTATACAGTTTGATGATTTCCACAATGTATATCCTATCCTTCTACAGCAGTATCTTCACCATTTTTCAGTTATCTAACATCAAGTAATTGAAACAACTCAATAGTTTCAGTACTGGCTTCATTTTCATTAGTACTCTTTTATTCACTGATATGGTTTCATTTATTCCAATACTAACATTGTTAACATTAACGTTTCTTTAACGAGTTAGTTTTCTACGGATTGGGGTCGCGAACTCCCTTTATCCGGTTCTGGGACCGGCAACAGCCCCAGGGGGCCTCTGGAGTAGAATGCTAGTTGACGGCCTATGCTCCATTAGGAATAAAAGGCGTAAGTAAGTAAAGTAAGTAACATTGTTTACATTTGTGAATTTAGATACAAACCAATTTATATGTTTATAGGACATAGTAAGTATTCTCTAAAACAATTCTTAGAATGAACATGTTTAATTAAACTCTATGTTTTGGCATCTTTCTAAACATATTTGAAGTATAAAAATCATTTGTCAATAATGACAAGAAATGAAAAAAAAAGATTTAATGACTCCGTTTATGAGTTAATTGAAGCTAGATCCCCATGGAAAACCTGGAAGTGCTAGACGGCTGGGTGAGATCGTGGATGCGCACTGCTGAGGAATCTCATACTAGGACGTAATGGCCGTCCAGTGCTTTCGGGTTTTCCATGGTGGTCTAGCTTCAATTTATTCATGAATTCAACCATAAAATTACTAAAATCTTCACAAAAACCGTTCTCTGATTATAATCATCATATACTCAATAATGACGGTCTCCAAGATGTATTTCCTGGAGTTCTAGTCAGAAGCAGTGACCAGTGGAGTTCAACCAGGTCTGCTGTTAGATAGTAACTCAGTGAAGACAACGGTGAACGATGGCTCTGTTTCGTGGGTTGGTCGTAATCAGACGTTATCACCCTTCGATGCCGGCTCAGTGGGATAGAGACTAAGCGCCCGCGTGCGAGATCAAAGCTCCTGGGTTCGAATCTTACGTGTGTGGTCGTGGATGTGCACTTCCAAGGACTATTCATGGACTAATATTCTATAAATATTCTTATTGTATAACTACTCAACAATTACACTATGTGTATTTATATTCCTTTTATGATAAGCTTTATTTTGACCTATAATTTATTATTGTACGATTTACGATTCTTAAGCTATGCTCAGTCTATTAATTACTGTCCCCCACGTTCACAGCCACTTTTCGGCTTATTTGTGTACAAATGTCTGATTGATATATAAATCGAGTATGTCTGAAATAAACGATTCGATTCATATTACGGAAACTGGTATTGTGTTCTGGACTCAAGTGGAAGGGCTAAGAAGACATAAGACCAATAAGGACGCTAAACTGCCCATACCGGTTGAACGTCATTGGTTGGGCATAGTGCGAAGATTCTATAAGCTCTATTCCGATTGGTCGATAAGTCGCGTGATAGAAAAGTCAGACATCCAAGGTCATAACACACATATTAAGACGAAACGGGCCTCGAGAACTTCCAGGTTTTCAACGATGGTCTAACAACAATCCATTCATGATTTCAATGCAAAAATCATACACTTGAGAACTTTCTTACTATTTTTAGATAAATTCTATCTAATTAGATGGACATTAGTCTATGGTTAAATGCATTCATATGATGTTCTATACAGAATGAAGTATTTTTGTTACATTTTAACAGGAGTTTCATTTTTTCCATTGACTCATTTATCACTGTTTATTCATGATTTCAGTTTGATATTTCTTTTTCAATGATTAAGATCATGAGTCAGTTGAAGCTAGACCACCATGGAGAACTTGGAAGCACTGGACGGCCGCTTCATCCTATTGTGGGACTCCCCAGCAGTGCGCACCTACGACCTCGCCCCTGGAGAGATTCAAACCCAGGACCTACTGGTTTCGTGCGCTAGCACTTAACCACTAGACCACTGAGCCGGCCAACATCCAACGATGTTAATGTCTAATTTCAACTAATCCACCAAATTGAGCGACACACCCACCATTGTCTTCAGTGAGTTACTATCTCACAACGGACCCAGTTGAACTCCAGTGGTCACTACTACTCACTAGAAC